GGCGGGCTGCGGGAGGCAGCGGGGGGAGGCGCGCCGGCTCCTGGGCAGCCGCTCCAGCCACTGGGAAGCGGGCAGGAGCAGTGAGTGCGTGAGCTGGGGAGGGGGGGCTCCCCCACCTGGGGCTTGCTGCTGCTACTGCTGCTGCTGCCTCCAGGGCTGGGCTGGGCTGGGGGCAGCCGATCCCTCGCCCGCGGCTTCTCGGGGGGGTTCCCCAGCGCCCCCCGCTTGCAAGGAGGGCGGGAAGTGTCCCCACCCCCTGCAGCAATGAGGGGCCCCGGCTGCTCTGCACCAGTGGCACCGGCCGCGCTAAGTTTCACAGGGGAGAAGGAGCCGGGCCCGGCCCCTGCGCCCTCCGCAAGCCGACTCCCAGCCGGCCGCGATCGCTTGTCCCGGCGGAAACAAACGGCCGGAGTCGGCGCGCCTGAGGTCGTGCCTCCTGCCCGGCTGTTTCTCGCCAAGATGGCTCCTGCCATGCCACCCGGGGCAGCCCCTCCCCGGCATCCCACCCCGCAGTCCGTAACTCCGCTTTCCAGCTCCCCCCTTCCCGCGCCGCTCAGCTCCCGGGCAGGCAACGAAAGGCGCTTCCCAGCAACCTTCCCGCGAAGAAAAAATAACCCCCCTAAACCCGCCGTGAATGCAGCTTGGGATGAGGCAAATTCATCGCAGGCGGTTGTTAAACCCGGGCAACCTCCCGAGCTGATTTTCGGAGCGTGGCGATCGCCCTTCTGCTCCCACATTCAGTCTGTGCCGCGGGGCCGCGGGCTAGTGGCCGCATTTGAAAGTTTCCCTTTGTTGTTCCTTAACCAACATTTTGTTCAAAAGAAGTTAGTTTTATGCCGCGGCTGTTTGATGGCAGCGGTGACATATTTAGCAACTTTCAAACGCAGAGCTCGCTCGTTCACTTCGGAAAGTCTTTTTGCCCCGGAGGAATAAAAGTGCGAGACGGCTACTCGCGACCTGAGATTTCACTCGGTCCCGTGTTCCTTTTCAAAGCCCTCCTTCGCTTTCCCAGCTGGGGGAATAGGTCGATTCGTATTTTACACACACATCTTGCCGCTGTCAAAGGAGAGGGGCTTCTTGTCCAACTCATCTGTTGCTTTTTACATGACAAGGAAACTGAAACAGATCGGGAATAGGGCGCGCAGTCCGTTTGTTTTCTGCAGAATGACCAAATCGCAACACAAAGTTTCTCCCGTATTGTTTGTGTCTCTTATGTTGGTTGATGCGAGTCTCACCCCGAGAATATTACACGGACACAGACCACGTTTCCTGCAGGCTATTTTAAGCCCTTGAAAAAATCTCTCTTTCTCTCTCTCTTTTTCTCTCTCTCTCTCTATCTATATGTATCAATCTGTATCTATAGATATTTGTATATATATATCTAAATATCTAGATATGGAGAGCTAGAGATAGACAAGATGAGTTAGACAAGATAGATATAAATATATATCTATAGATAAGATATGCATGTATATAGATATAAACTATATAGATATATAGATATACACACACATATATTAACAAACAGTGAGATAGATAGATGTGTGAGATGTATATAGATACGTATCTATATATCTCACACTTAGTCTTTTGAATATTTAGCCGTGTGTGAGATAGATATCTAAGAGATACGTACATATATGTACATATTGTGCTGTATTCAAAACTGTATGTATGTATGTATAAATATATCACTTACAGGTTTTGAATACAGCAAGTCGGGACAACTAATCGCACAGATCAAATGCATACTTACGAATTTACATTCAAAAACTTAAAAGATGAGGAAGCGTGTTTACTTTAAAACACAAATTAAAATATAAGGCAAAATCGTCTACAGAATCCACCTGGAAAGACGGATGAACCTAGGACAGGTGGTAACTGAATGAGGCGCTGGGTTCTTGATGATCTGTACTGCAATAAATGCTATCGCTCTGCTATGGCTCTACTGGCTTTATTTAATCTGGGGGGAAAGAACTTTTGTCTCCCGGATCTTATGTCGAGACCCCCCAAGACAAATCTTTCTCCGAAGATGTTTTGGACTGTATCCGCGGCTCTGGATTTCCCAGAGCGGAGCAAGGAGCCTCACTGGCTCTGTCACCGATCTGGCCACGCATCTCTCTATCCACCGCTGCCATTATTAGGTCGTGGGGCCCCTGTTTCACTTGAGTGCACATCGGGAGTTTAGGCTGAACCGCTCGTTTGATAGAGGGCAGTAATCCTTTTTTCATATTTGCTGGGAATGTTTTCCATATCCTAGTATTTGACAACATCTCCCTATAGGGACAGGTTTGTATTTATGTTAGCAAAATGTCCCCTGCCTGAAAGTCTATTGTAACCCAACACCTGACAACCCTGAGTCCCATTTCTGTTTGCAGAAAAGGTTTATTCAAGCACATAATGGAATCCCAGCAGAAAGCCTTTCAGAAGCAGGGGCTATGGTAAACTTCACCACATGAACTCCGTTTCCAGGGCTATTAAGCTTTTAATTGGAAAATAGCAGAGGAAATTTCAAGGTGACTATAACGTGTTAGCAGTTAGCGCCGAGAAGAATAGAGTGAAAGGGAATGAATGTGCAAAGCATATGGTCCAAATAACATTTAGGGGGAGAGTGCCCGGTTCTCCTAAATCCAGCAGCTTTAGACGTTTATGGGAAAACTCCTGCGGGAGCTCAGGGGAGGGGGAGGCAAAGCCCAAATGTAACTTCATTTGAGTGAACCCGCTGACAATCGGTTGCTCTTCGATGTTGATTTTTCTTGGGATAATCCACGGATCAGGCTCAGACCGTCTAGGAAATGCAATCTCCAGGGGCCGCCTGGGAATGCTTTGAAAAAGCAAACCTGGGCGAGCTCTGGAGAGCCCGGGCACAAGCAGCCAGCTGACCATCCCCTTCGCCATTGCACCGGGCACTGGCACCGCGGCGGGTTGCTGACATCCTCGAGCCCTGATGACACCAGGGGTGCGGGGGCACTTCTCTCCCGTCGCCTTTCGGCTTCAGCAACGGGATCTTCCCGCCGCTTGCAATCGCTGCTGGTGAATTTGGGCAACCTTGCAAGCACCCGCTGCCGCCGGGCAGAGGGACATGGGGGGCAGATGTGCCATGGCCTCTCTGCCCAGCCAGTGCACAGAAGATGCCCAAGCCTGGGATTGACCAGTCAGCCAGTGACTGCAAGCTTGTGCTTGTTCTCCCATCATGACTGCGGGACAGAAACGCCCGGCAGCTGCAAAGGGCTCCTCCAGGCGAGGAAACAATGGCATGAAATACACCGCAGATCCCATGAAAAACAATTTAAAAAAATTGCTTATCCGGGTCCAGGATCACACTAATAAACTAGGGCGATGAGAACAAGCAGCTGGGGGAGCCCCCGCCGCCCGGACAGCAGTAGGAGAGGTCGCTGCTTTCCGGCCACGGGGGCAAATTTGGGAAAGGCTGGGGAAGGCAGGACTTCACTGCTAGCCCCCGCTTCGGCAGCATCACCCCTGGATCCTTCCTGGGACCCTCGTGCCCCTGGATCCTTCCTAGGACCCTTCTGTCCCTGGCTCCCAGGGCCCAGCCCCCGTTGCGCTGAGAGGCTGACCCAGAAGGGCCCCAGCCTGGCGCCTCGCCTTGCCTCTGGGGGCTTCCCTCCCCCTCTTCTGAAGCGACCGTAACGTAGCTGCAGCCAGCGAGCCCCCTGCCACCGGGCAGCCTGCCTTCACCCCTTCCCCTCCGCCAAAGAGGCGAGCGGATAATGACTGACGAGGCAGAGAGAACTTAAAACAGGCTGCGTGACAAATGCGGGGCTCGGTTCATCAACCGAGACAATATTTTGCGGGGGCCTCGATCCAGGGGGCCGCAGGCAGGGGGAGGAAAACCCAGCCCCGGCCAGTGCAAGGCGAGCAGCAGGAAATGCAGTATAGCAAATGCAGCGCCCCGTGCCGACGTGCCCCACGCCCGGCGTCTCCCAGCAGCTGCCCCGGGGGCAGGTCCTGCCACTCCCGACTCTGGAAAAAAGTTGCAGTTTCCCCAAATCCCATTGTGCAGGTGTTTCCACCTTTCCCCTCGTCCAAATAAAACCTCAGCTCCTCCGTACCCACCTCCCACCCCTTCTGAAACCAATCCCGTCTTGGAAAAAGAGCTCATTTGACAGCATGAGGCAAAGGGCCTACTAGTTGCTGGCAAACAAGAAACCGATCGGGATTTTCCAGGGGGAGGGAAATAAAATAAAATAAATCTTTTGGCTTGATGCGAGAGGGCAAGGTGGCCAACTAAGGAGATAACGGTTGCAAAACAAGCTCCCGCTTCCCCAGCAGGGCTGGGGCTTGTCGCACTCGCTGCTGTTTGAAAACAACCCAGCCGACTTTCGCTCGGGGGTTTGGTCGCTTCTAACTTGATGTCAACACAACTTCTGCGCCACTCCGGCCCGGAACGACAGTGCATCCATCCGTTCATCTGCTAAAACCACGAGCTACAGGGAGAAAAGGGGAACAAGGCGCAACATTAAATCCAAGACGGGGGGGGGGGGGACAGCATTACCTGGATTACCTGTCACCTGCTAGGAAACGTGGCATGGTGGGAAGTGCGCGGAACCGATGCTTGTGGGAATTTGGGCTACTTTTTTTTTCGTTGAGGAAATGCAGGCCCGGGAACCGAGGATGATGAGTGCAATCCAGGCAGAGCGGGAAAGGGGGGTGGTTTAAGCGGATCCGTCCAAAATTGCTCGCTCTATCGAGGCGATCGGGCAAATCTGCAACGCGGCTCGACATTGCCGCCGCGTCTTCCCTGCGGTTATTTTTAAATGCCTGCGATGGGGGTGTCCCCCAGGGCTGCGGCTGGGGCGGCCAGAACTTGAGCCCCGGCGGCGGCTGAACGCGGGCTACGTCACCACGCCCGGCTCGTTACACCGGGCTCCCGCGCAAACGGTCCCCGGCGCCTCCCTCCGCCCTTCGCTTCAGAGGGGCCACAGAGGAAGGAGAGAGGGTCCTTTCCCTCCTGGGGTCCCGATCCCTGACTTCGAGGGGAAACTCCTGGGAACTGCAACGGAGGCAAAACGACCTGCAGCTTCTCCCTCGCCGCCCGGGCTGTGGGCTGGGGGTACCCAGTCCCCTGCTCTCGGCCTCGCCCAAATTGCACCCAGGAGCCAGCGCAACCCTCGGGACAGCAGAAGTGTGGGCCGGGGCAGAGCCCCAGCCTTCAGTATTGCTAACTCTCATGGTTTTTGGTGGCGGTCTTAAAAGTCTACGCTTGGGGAATGTGAAAAACTTACCTCTTTCTTTTGTTTTATATATATATATATATATATA